TTCTTCGCGAAATCATTCAACCTATCGCATTCAGATTTCTCGTTATGCGATTTCGCCGCAAGCGCGCCGAAAAATTCAGCTTTTGAAAAATAAATCGAATGCTTTTTATCTCAAATCACACGTGAACTTTTAACAGTCGCTTTCTCAGTTAGAAAGAAAGGAAAATGTCGAAATCGATTGCGCTTCGCAATCGTTTTATGATAAAAGATACAGCTATGGAACGCCAGGGGTCTTTATACGTGTTTCATAAAAATTTTCCATCGATTTGGCACACGCAGCGTTATTTATTCGGACGCCTCTTGCCATAATTAGTCTCGAAATCATGTTAACAGAATCAAATTTCTTTTTCATACAATTAATGATGTTCGTGTAATTATTTAAAAAGAAAGATGAAAAAGTATTTTAAAAAACTTATTTATATAGAATATTGTATACCTTATATTTTGTATATAAATAAGATAAAAATAATTACTACTATAATTTAATAGCATTAAATAAAGCATTTATGCGCTAATATACGTAATATTTTTACAGAAATAAAGAACGTTAATTAAGAATAATAATTTTATTTCTTTTCATTTTTAAAATCTGTTTTCTGCTCTTTAATGTCTTCATGCTTACTTAAAATCTATAAATATATAATAATATATATGAAATATTTAAGCGCCAATATTAATTCCAAGTTTTTTTATCCCTGCAATTTCAATTGATCTGTATTTAATTCTATCAAATTTTATAATGCGCAAAATATTATTTTATATAAAATACAGATAATCGCACCTACTCGGCATGAGGTTTATATTTTCATTCACCGCTCAGATTTAATCTCCGCTTGTTCACAATATATTTTATAATTTACAACCGAGCGCGTAAACAGGAGTGTGATAAAATATTCACTTAACGAAACATGAAAACATAGTATGAAAATGAAAATAAAATTTAATTTTACATAGAGATAAGTAAATTTCTAAGAATGTATATTTATATAATTCTTTCAAATAGCAGCAACATAATTGCGTATGTATATTGCTATTATTGGTTTCTTAGTCTCTTTAAATTCTTGCATAAAAAGTTTTCTCGAAATTTTCTTATGAAGTTATTATAAAAACAAAGTTTTATCATTTTACATAATTTAATCTGACAGCAGTTGATAAATCTTGTTTCAATTATTTAATCTCCAAAGAACTGAATACCATAATGTTATTCTAAACTACGTTTTTTGTCATCAGACATTATTTTAAATGTTGATTAATTTTAAATATCTTCTATCGCAATATTTGTTATTAATTTTTGAAAATTAATAAAATCTATTTTTCAAAGAATTGCTTTATATTCTTATGACACAAATGCGCTCCGATATAGACAAGATCACTCGCATCGTTTTGTATTCTATGTTTGTCGATGTTTGTGTTGACAAAATGAGTGATATCGTGATATCGACGGAAAGCGGAAAAATGAATGGAAAAACTTGAAAATCAACAAAGTATTCCTATTTTAAAATGCGTTCGAAATTCAGCAACGCGACGGAAGATCGATATAAAATTTCGATACAAAAATTTAAATTTCGAACCGCATCGCACGCATGCAATGCAAGACACGCTCTCTTCCGCACGCGGAAGATCTTATATTCTTTTTGCTTCTTTACCTCATGGCATCCTTCGGATGACAGCCTGTCGTGCGGTATTTCAAATAACTTCCCTCGCTTCAATCAAGACTCGTGTCTCTTTGAACGACGGATTTTTGATGATGAAGACGGCGAGATGAAACGAGGGTGAAACGTCCGCGAGAGCGGGACGGCAGGCGGAAGTCGCGAGGGACGCGACCCGGTGCCACGTGCCGCGGGACCGGAAATAACACGCGCCGTATCTCCTCGGCGTGCGTGGAAAAAAATTGAAATTACTCGCGGGACAGACGAGGCGACGAGGAGAAACGTGTCGTCACGACAGGTGAACGCGCACTGCTCGCGGGAGACGCGCCACACTTGCCCGTGGCTACTTGGGCGTCGCGGCGCCGACGACGATGTCGACGACGACGACGACGACGACGGCGGCGGCGGCGGCGGCGGCGGCGGCGGCGGCGGCGGCGGCGACGACTACGACGACTACAACGACTACGACGACGACCGCGGCGACGACCACAATGACGACGTCGACGTCGACGCGTGCTACT